CATTTTGTGGTCAGTCTTCACTACAAAAAATGGCTCCAAAATTAGGTCATAATCCTTTAGCTGTCCAGCATATAATTCATAACAGGTATGAACCGAAAGAAATATTTGCGCACTACATGCGGAGGGATCAGTGGATATGCGAGTGTCTTTGAAATCATACAGTATTACTACCCTGTGACTGTTGTGTAGACACAGGAGAAACCCCAAAAGGACCCATATGTCAGAGAAAATACTGACATGTCATCCTTTGGCAGTGGACCGTGCTAATATTGCATTGGTCGAAAAGAGAAAAATCAGTTGGAACACACTCTGCGTTCTTCCACGCGATGGCTCCTGACGACTATACAAACAGCGGTAAGAAAACAATTTGAGCAAAAATATTGCTGAGTGCGGCGTAAACAACAACCATGCCAAACCAAACTTCCCATTCCACATTGAATATAAGTAATATTTTGAAAACATGAATCTCTATCATTGTTTGGTACCTTAATAAATCATTGCACAACACTCTACTGACGCACAGCGTATCATACACGAGACGTATGTGGTCATGTTATGCGGCGGTATTCCAGTGTTTGCTCTGTTGCTATGGTTGCTTGACATTTCCAATTTTGTTCATATCATATGTACTCTACGTATCTGACATTTCTTTGTACTTTATAAACCCAACAAATCCTGGTGTATATCGAATACTTCAAGGCAGATATGAACTAAATTGAAAAGTGGACATTTCATGTGATGGGGAACTCGGCATCTACTGCTCTATACGAATGACTGCAATGAACAGCCTAAGGTGATATGTCTTTGAAATGCACGACTCGAACAACATTGGGTTATATCAAGTGGGTGAGCGAATGAGTATGATTTTACGTCGTTTTTTGCAATGTTCCAGCAATGTCACGGCGGGGAACACCAGAAATGGGCTTCACACATTGCACCCATGCGGGGTATAGAACCCGGGTCTTCAGCATGACGAACGGCCGCTTTTACCATAAGGCTTTGTTTAATAAACTATTGTGGTTCAATCATGTTTAGTAAAAAGTATTATCGTCCAATTAGTGTGACCGAGACAAAACGTAACGTCTCATCGTCAAAATCTTAAAACATTACACAGCCTTACTGCAAGTGTTTCGTACAGCTGTTGTTTCAGTATTTCTTACTTACTGTGTCGATAAATCGGAACGGGGCGGTGGGGTAGCCTAATGGTTAAAGCGTTGGCTCATCACGCCGAAGACCCGGGTTCGAATCCCCACATGGGTACAATGCGTGGGCCCATTTCTGTGTCCCCGCCGTGATGTTGCTGGAATATTTTATGCGTAAAAGTGTCAGTCAGTCAGTCAGTCAGTCAGATAAATCGGAACCACTGTTCAACATGTGCTGATCAAAACTTACTGAATAAAAACAGCGAGGGATCACGTATATTTGTGTATATTTTTTATGGAATAGTGTGCCAAAGTATTACCCAAATTTTTAGGGATGCCACGATATGTCGATACATCTAAGACGATATCTAGTATTTAGTTTTTAAAGTATCGGTTTAAATATGTTTATGTATCGATTACATTTTGCAATCGTATCATGTTTTTTTATGTTATGAGAGTTATAAATGATTATTTTTCATGCACAAAGATGGGAAATTAGAACTTTTTAATCTTTGAGAATAAAAAATGTTGATCTTTTCATGGACAATTATAAAATATATAAGATTAATGTTCAAAATGTATCTAAATTTACGCAATAATGCCGCGAAAATAGGTATCGTGATACGTATCGAATCGTGACATGGATATCGTGATACGTATCGATCCATGAAAAAATATGCATATCTCTGATCTATCTATTTTGTTTAGTATATTACTATTTTGTGGATTAATGCATTGGCACAAAAACCAAACGTGGACACGCTGACGCTCCTCATTTTACGTCCTATTCAAAAGGTGACGTATCATTGTAACTAAATCCTCAATTTTCAAATCTAAACTGAAGACATACCTTCTTAAGAAAACATACAGTGTCTAACTTCACATTCTCGAGTTGTTCGGAGAGCGCTACTGAGCAGTACTTTTGGACTGGAACTGGCGCTATATAAATGGTTTTATGATGATGATGATGACTGGAACTGGCGCTATATAAATGGTTTTATGATGATGATGATGACTGATGATGATGATGACTGGAACTGGCGCTATATAAATGGTTTTATGATGATGATGATGACTGAAACTGGCGCTATATAAATGGTTTTATGATGATGATGATGACTGGAACTGGCGCTATATAAATGGTTTTATGATGATGATGATGACTGGAACTGGCGCTATATAAATGGTTTTATGATGATGATGATGACTGGAACTGGCGCTATATAAATGGTTTTATGATGATGATGATGATGAAATCCTATTCCATGAGTTTCGGAACGTTGTGACCTTGCGCTCGATTCTCGGTATTTTTCTATGATGATGGTGATTTCAATGCAGTTCGTAAAATTTGTGAAAATATTTCCCCTACACTTTCCCACCTTTAAATTAGAATAACACTCAGAGAGAGACCTAAACATGCGTATCTAACGGTAGCGCTAATGCCAGGCCACCAGAGGGTAATCGGGAAGTACCGCTCTCCCTGAGATACCATTCAGTGACATCTCTTTACGGAAGCCAATATTGAAGTCTAAATGAGAGCCACCATCAACGGATTGATCAATATGCTTGACAGGCTTCCGTATGTGCGAAAAGCACACCTCAAATCAAAACCAACTTTTGATCCTCACTGAAAACTTTAAAACACCTGTTGATCCGCAGCACGCCTACTGCAATTATTGATTTAGTTCTGACAGGTTTTGATAAAGCTTTTTGAATGAAAGCACGATTGGATCAGCTCTGAGTATCACTGAAAGGAAATGTGTTTACATAGAAGGATTTCAGTAGCCACGTGAGGAGGTCTCTGAGTGATGTAACTTCTCATATAGTTTTTTACATGGAAACTAGCATTTTGGAGAAATCGAACTGTTGAAAAAGTCAGTATTTTCGCCAGTTTCAATCCGTGTAAGGTTATATTATATTGCGAAATACACTGGGTATATAGATGCTAACATGTGTTGCAGTGTAAATACCGTATTTTGTAGTATCCGCTTCTGAACACAGTGTAGGGCGAGTTTTAAACCTTAGTTTTTTCTGCATTAAAAAGTCCTAGTTTTCTTAAAGGATATGCCATGGAGGACGAGTAATGTAAGTAAGACTTCTGTGATACTATTCATGTAGATCTGAAACCTCGTGCCATTATTTTTCGAATACCTCCAAGTGCTATCAGCAAATCAGATCCGTGGGCAGCAGGATGGAAGATGCATGGACGCATGTGTTTGGAAGCAGGAGTCAAGACTCAGTCGAAAGAAGTGTAAAGCTCTGCTCTTGTCGGAAAGTATTATCTTCATCATTTTACGACATTTAAACCGGAAACACTACCCGTTCTTGTCGTCCCCGAGACTACTTTGAAAGTCGTGACTTTTGAGTGTCAGCTGTTTAAAAATACCATGGATGGCACATATTATTTCTGAATTAGTGACGAAAACATCACTTCAGGGTCCACAAATACCAATCCGTTGGAGCATCATCATCACAGTAACTCCGATAATTCGGCATGTATTGCGGATAGTGCAGGGGCTGACGTGAAATAGACAGAGTTCTACATTTCGCAGCATCATGGCGTCTATTAGAATACCATGGTTCAGAACATACTACAAAGTTATCGACACATAGCAGCATAGTTTGGTACGATGTAAAGTTAACATTCCGGCCACGCTAATCCGTCTGGGTAAGATGTAAAGTTGGACATTCCGGCCACGCTAAACCGTCTGATACGATGCAAAGTTGAACATTCCGACCACGCTAAACCGTCTGGTACGATGCAAAGTTGGACATTCCAGCCACGCTAAACCGTCTGGGTACGATGTAAAGCTGGACATTCCGGCAACACCAAACCGTCTCGGTACGATGTAAAGTTGGACATTCCAGCCACGCTAAACCGTCTGGGTACGATGCAAAGTTGGACATTCCAGCCACGCTAAACCGTCTGGGTACGATGCAAAGTTGGACATTCCGGCCACGCAAAACCGTCTGATACGATGTAAAGTTAAACATTCCAGCCACGCTAAACCGTCTGGGTACGATGTAAAGTTAAACATTCCGGCCACGCTAAACCGTCTGTGTACGATGCAAAGTTGAACATTCCGGCCAAGCCATATGGGTTATGATGATAGGGGTGGCTTCCAATACATATCATGTTCTTCAGGGTAGCTTGGTGATTGTTGGAAAATTGCATAAATTATTTTAGTATTTGTCTTCGTTAAACAGAATAATACAGAATCACTAAAGATGTCTAGAGTAACAGTCTTTGAACATTTGGAAAACATATTAACTAAACCCCTGTAAGGAAAGAGGTTAAAAGACAGAACGCTATGTCGTGTTCACTATGAATATTCATAAGTACACATTGCTAAGAAACAAATGTCTATTCATACCACATACATTGACACATATAATACCCTAATAACCCTAAGACACTGATATCTCTACGTGTATTTGACTGTGATGCATGTAACACGGAATGTGTTCCCAGGTGACCCTATATTTGGCTGGACAAAGTGTCGTGCCAGTTAACTGAAATATATCGTATTGACAAAAGTCCGTGACAGCACAAGAAGCCAATGTGTTAAGCGTCTTCACTGGCACAAGATGTCCCACAAAAATGTGTTGAAAGAATAATTCTCCCTTTCAGAAAATAAAAAGTTAAATGGATTGAAGCAAACATCAACCAAAAATATAACATGTCTTTAGCAAATTCCCTGTCCTCTGAAAATAGTTAATACATCATCTTTAAGAAAATCCTTCATAAAGGTAATGAATTTTTTGTTGAATGAACAAGTATATGCACAAATGTATACAGCCATGTTGTACATTCGTCACCTGTAATTGAATAATGAAGGGTTGAAAATATGTTTTTACCATTTTTAATATATCGGTGCTTGCCTTTTGGTGCAGAGACTTGTAGCGTTGTTTTAGTCCATATGATGACGACGATGATGATGTAACACACTGCGATGATGACGGCGGGGATGAAGAAGAGGACGATAGCAATTGTCGTGATGTAGAGCTGAAACAACGAATGAAGATCCATGTGCATCGTTAGTGTATCACAACGAGGCACTGAGTTTGTACATAAGAGAAAGTAAACTCGATGTAGAAGTACAATGAAACCTGGTTAATCAGGGAACCGTTAATCCAGACCCTCACGATTTCCGTGAAACGTACTCCCACACAAATATCACATCTTGATAAACACGATTCCTTAATCGAGGGAGATGGTGGGGGAGCCTAGTAGTTAAAACGTTCGCTCGTCACGCCGAAGGCCCGGGTTCTATTCCCCGAATTTCTGGTGTCTCACATCGTGATATTGCAGGAATAATACTTGAAACACTAAACTCACTCACTTGTTAATCCAGACTGAAAACGACGACATCCGGAGTAACGGGGTTTCACTGTATAACGATTACGTTGGGAAATAATTGCGTAGACTTTAAAGCTCGTAAAGAGATGGCTATAAAACCGTCTGCTCCTGATTAAACGCTTGCAATATTGCGTTAGTATGTTCACCCAAGTTTTATAGTCCATTCGATCGTCGCCGCGAGATAGCTGCACGGCTGTTGATAAGCGTTAAGCAATAATAACTCAATCTACCCGAACTCACTCAACCCGATTCCTTAATAAAGTATATGCAAAATCACACTGAAACTATTGGTAAGTAAGCTTAGGCGGATCAAGGGATTTTCAAGGGGGGGGGGGTTCGAACCCCCTGAACCCCCCACTAGTCTCCGCCAATGCTGAACATTAACTTCAAGGTGGCCTATAGTCATTTTCAAGAGGGGGGGGGGGGTCTATTCCTCTGACCACCACCCTTGGATCCCCCAATGCAGTAAGGATGACGCGTACGTTATGAACGGAGACACATTAACGACTTTGGGATGAATTTAATCTGTGTAATCTTGATTGACGACTGCACACTTCTTGGAGTTCATAGTTTTCGAAAGATACTTCGGGGATTGTTAGTAATACTTATTATACAGTTATCGTTATCAAATATGTCATGCCACCGCCATGTTTTCCATAAATAGCAATAATAAGCTCACCATACCCATAACACTCTCTTAAACTTGAGGTTTAAAATTGCAAGTGTATACTCTAGATAATTAAGGTTCGAGACAGACATGTTTATGATACGTCTAACTGTCCAAGGTTCCCACACAGGAAGGTTATATACATATGGAATAAGACAACTTCGACGTTTTATGGAGACATATGACAATGTCAAATGAAATCCCACCAATGACATCGTGACACCATAAGGCTCTGTAGCTCACTGGAATATCTGGTTATTTGTAACATTATTAGACCCGTGAAGATCCGGGTTAGAATTTATCTTCAGTTACCCATGCTTGTCGTAAGATGCGACTAACGGGATCGGGTGGTCAGGTTCGCTGACTTGGTTGACACATGTCATCGGTTCACAATTGTGTAGATCAATCCTCATGATGTTCATCACCGAGTATGTCTGGTCCAGACTCGATTATTTACAGACGGCAACCATATAGCTGGAATATTGCTGAGTGCTAAACGACAAATCAGCAACTTTAGTTCAAGTGACTTTCACATTGCACAATGCAATTTGAAACTTAAGAATGTGTTGCTCTAATCGAATTGAACATATAAGGAACAAAGTTAGAGATCATAGATATTTCTGATAGTTCAGTGTTAAACCAACCAACCAACTGTAGATTCAGAATCCAGTGGATTGTACAGTTTCTGATGCATGAATGATATCTCTGGTCCTTGAAAGGTTTTGAGATTGCTGAGATATTGCTGAAATGATGCTGGTTTCATAATAATAAATACGATTTAAACACATTCTAGATGAAATAATTACTTCAAATATTTAGTGAAATGATTTATATGAAATGGATGTAATCTGAGATGCAAAGAATTGTTTTAATAACAGACAATTCGCCAGGACATTCAAGTTAATTGGTAAATTCAATTGGGCCATTAAAGAGAGGTAACGTTGGAATATTGGCGATCGAGATAACTTTCAATATTATGTGAAATCATTTTTTGAACGAAATACATACTCGATGATTGAAAAGGCCTTAAAAACCGATCGACAATTTTTTCTCTGCCCAGTTTCCATCACTCCCAAGATAAGGGTAGACATAATTACAACCAATTATGTTTGTTGCATTTTGTTATCTGTGCGTTTGTTGTCTAACGCCGCCCTCAGCATTTCTTTCCAGCTATACGGGATGTCTGCCAGATAATCAGTTGTTATTTGAACGCAAATGACCTCATTGTATGCCTCTCGGAGCTATTACTGCTACAAAGATATATTTGTTTTTAAATCAAGCCTTACCCATGCTATTATTATTCAGTATGAATTAAGATAACATACATCTAAATGAAGAGTAGAGCATAAACTATATGAGAGATGTGTAAATACATTTTGCTGGATCAGCGGTCAGATTAATCTTTCAAGAGATACCCAATTATGTTTTACAATGGGAAAAATGATAGGCAATCAGGTGTAATTGATTTATATTCAGTCCTATTGTTATCCCCAGATAACCTACTCTCCAGAGAAGAATAAGGGATGTTCAACGCAAAAGAATTCTTTTTTTACGTTTCAATTTAAGTAAATGATTTAATCACGTTGATGTTTTCAGAAAGGAATTAATCGACTTTCTGCGATTCTAAGAAAGCGCTTGAATATCGCCCACCAGACAGAATACTGAAATGGAGAGATTTTTTTGCACGCTTTCAGCGGGACAAACTTCCAGAAAGCCGGTGCCCTGAAGTGTGAAGACATAAAGTAGATAGGAAATTGGCACCTAACTGGCACCCCTGTTGGTATTCCGTGCGAAAATATTGGAATAATTGGCAAAATTCTCAACAAATAAGGAAGGGATTTCAAGATTACAGCGAGGGTTATCAAATCGCGGCTCCAATTTGCTACCATCTTTGGTAGCATAACAGTCTTCAGTCAATTTTGCACACTTTCACGTGGTGCAGGCCCTCAAATGTGAAAAGTAAGCCAGCACTGTTGGCCCAAATCAGTCCGAAAAACTAGTTTTGAATGAAATCCGTAATCTGAGGGTTAGGATCAATTGACTGGAAAGTCGTATCGATTTTGGCATACTGCTTGTCAGACAACTGCTAACAAGGAAAGGTAATTACATTGGCGCACCAAATGATGTTTAGGTATCTCTCCTGCAGGATCGATCAAAAATGGGTCAGTTTATAGGAAATACTTTCCTTACAACTCTTTTCTTTGACGACTTAATTCTGCTGATATATTGACGCCTTCCTATGACATATATTGCATATCGACCAGAGTTGTTGAAATGATACCACCTCCCTTAGAAGTAAGTACAATAACGCTAAAATGAGAACGCGCCAATGCAATAATTCCTTTTTAGGGACTGACGTTATGACATATATAATCAATTTGTACTATAACCAAATGATAGGCACCATTTAGCCACCTTTTTAAGTTATAGACGCTGATCGTGACACGTGTGGGATATATCCACGAAGGAAGAAACGTATAAAAACGACTAATTAGAACTCTCCTGAGATACGACTGATAAACTGCACAGATGAAAACATTAAATGGGAATTCTTGAATGTCAGTGTGTTAGTTACTGTTTTTTTGTAGCCGACGATGTTTTATTTGCGTCTTCCTGAGTTCCTGGCATTTCTACAGCCTTAGCAACTAAATGGGCTAGTTAGTTACGTCGTATTTGTTCTTCCATATATTCTCAATAAATATTGTTTTGGAGCCATATCCGTCGGTTTCACAGTAGAAAGGAGTAATGCTGTTGTTTCACATTATTTGTTTGTATGTTTGTTTGTTTGTTTGTTTGTTGATTGACGCCGCATTCAGCAGTTTCACTGCTGTATGACGGAAGTCGGGTATATTCGAGTCTGGACCAGATAATCCATTGACTGACATTATGAGCATCGATCTACGTAATTGAGATACGGTGACTAGTTAGCTAGTCTGACCACCTGTGGGTTGCTGAAGTTCAATTCTAACCCGGATCTTCACCACTGTATATTCGTCATTAAAGTGAAGTAAACCTTTTAACCATGCTACTGGAATTCATAGAGTCGCCATTGTTCCTGCTGAAGAAGGATTCCAATTGTATTTTCCACTCCTGTAAAAGAGTCACAGCGATGTGATCACAGCTCCGATGTGGAGAATGACTGATTATTAATCGTTATGAATTCCAAACATAAAATTCATACTTTTCAATGAAATTTGAATTTGCATATTTCCATCTCAAAAACATTAGAATATTAAACTGTTCATTTCATTTCACTGGCTTTAATTTCAACTGTTCCCTTTATGAAACCTTTTATGTCATTTGAATCCAATAAATAAGCAACGTAAAATTCCTTTTATGATAACAACTCGAGACAAACAACTATGAGTGGATGTTTATCACATTTAACTTAACCAAGGAATCCTCCTTTACACATCTATCTCATTCTCAGCGCTGTTTCTGGCATTTTATTCTTTGATTAAACTTTAGTACTTTTAATAGAAAGAATATCAGTCATATTTCTAAAGAGTTACACGTTTTCAACGTTTCAATTTTCAACGTTATCCTAATAAACTAATAGTGTCTCCACTATTAATGCTAATCGTTGTGTACATACAGAAGAATCGCATATATTCAACAATGGCAGAATAGTTAATATTGACCCGAGATGTTGCAATCTCGCGAGACCTCGTGGTAAATAACATTAACTCAAAGCAAATACCATTACGATTTCAGAGACTCAGTTACGGCAAGACAAATCGGCACGGTTGTCGCAAAAATGTGTAGTACAAACACTGGAGTGTACAGTTCGCCGCGACCTGGCCTTTCAAGGCCTTGTTTTCAGAGGAACTGCCGCAGGCGTTTGCTGCAAGTTAAAGGTCATTGTCTATTTAGCAATATCCTACAAGCAGGCCGCGTCTGACCCCAAACCAGGCATGATGTAATCGCCTCTGTGAAGAACACACTAGCATAGTCTTCAGGGCAGATATTTTCTCCAACACATAAAATCGCATTGGTAAAATAACCAAACAAACCCGAAACACATAAATCTGTTATAGTGATCCAAATATTTGCAAACCAAATGAACTGTTTTTAACAAAATGTTAAGGCGTATGCGAAAAGGATAGAGGAATATTCTAATGACATTTAAAGAGTCACTGTTGTGGCGGATTTAACTCATACTGAGCTGATTTATCAGACAGTAAACCAGTCAAAAAGGCACGGATTACAGTAAACATCCTGACAGTACCTTAACTGGCAGTCTTGAAATCAAACGAAGGTGTTGCTACAAGGATTGTCAGAGATTCGGGGCAAGCAAGAAACTAAAATTTAACAGTCATGAGACTTATGGTTCTTACACACAAAAATATGTGGTTCACGAATATAACATTAAATGTTCAAAATATATTTTTGATTATTTTTGAAGTGGTAATATGAACGAAGCAGAGAATACTGTACTTTGTTTTTCTCCAGCATTCTTTGGTTGGGAGTGGCATCATTGCCTTTGATGGGTGGCCAACCAATATCAACATAATGGCCAATTAGAGTACCACGAACATAATGCCTGATAACAGCCACATAATGCTTGATAACAATCTGCTGGTACTACATCTAACCTACTGATGATCAGAAAGTACACATCGACGTGGGATGCTTATAAAAAGAAATAAATGTCAAAGGAAATGTACAAAAAAATTACATGTTTCATTTGAAACTATAATGAAGTTCCATCATTTATGGCGTAAAAACCAAAAGCATTAGTATTAGTAGGATATATTAACAAGATGACCACAGACTGATAACTAAGGTTCTGAGCGCTCCTATACCATCTCTAAAATGACATCAACGCGTCTTGTGTGGAAACAACGCTTTGTCGATAACGTGGGCATCTTGATGACTCCAACTAGTGTTTAGTTCCTCTCCTCTTTGGTTCCAAAGATGGGGTATCTGTATCTGTGGCATTGTCCTTTTGGAACAGTATTCCTCGAGGCTGTCCTCTGAGAATATGAAGAACTAGCGGCAGAATGACATCCTACCAAAGATGACAAGACATGTCTTCCTTTCTGTATGTTGTTCGACATGATGGGGTATCTTTACATGTGGTATTGTCCTTTTTGAACAGTATTCCTCGAGGTTGTCCTCTGATAATGTGAAGAACTAGATGACAAGCATGAATTGACATCCTGTGGTATTGTCCAACAGTATCCTCGAGGTTGTCCTCTGAGAATATGAAGAAGTAGCGGTAGAATTACATCCTACAAGGCTTGTCGTCCTTTCTGTATGTTGTTCGACATGATGGGGTATCTGTACATGTGGCATTGTCCTTTTGGAACAGTATTCCTTGAGGCTGTCCTCTGAGAATATGAAGAACTAGCGGCAGAATGACATCCTACAAGGCTTGCCGTCCTTTCTGTATGTTGTTCGACATGATGGGGTATCTGTACATGTGGCATTGTCCTTTCAGTATTCCTTGAGGCTGTCCTCTGAGAATATGAAGAACTAGCGGCAGAATGACATCCTACCAAAGATGACAAGACATGTCTTCCTTTCTGTATGTTGTTCGACATGATGGGGTATCTTTACATGTGGTATTGTCCTTTTTGAACAGTATTCCTCGAGGTTGTCCTCTGATAATGTGAAGAACTAGCGGCAAAATGACATCCTTCCAAAGATGACAAGACATGTCTTCCTTTCTGCATGTTGTTCGACATGATGGGTTATCTGTACATGTGGCATTGTCCTTTTGGAAGAGTATTCCTTGAGGCTGTCCTCTGAGAATATGAAGAACTAGCGGCAGAATGACATCCTACAAGACTTGTCTTCCTTTCATCACAAATTCCGCCATACTTCATGACGCCAACGCCTCCAAATGGCCAAACCTTGGATGTTCGTAGAACGAATCTTTCAGCTCTACATCGATACAACCGCATGCGAAAACCACCGGCTCTTGTCGTCAGGAATCTGTTGATCAGATGTAATATAAGCAGACTGGAATCCTCTGATGGGGTGATTACACGTGGTCCTCTGCTTCGTAACGTATCCCTTGTACGCCCAGCCTCGTGGTATCACTGAAGCAGTCTGGCAATTGTCTTTTGGATGCTGCCAAGCCTTCTTACCGAAGGACATCGGTGCCATGCGGACACCACTCCCTCTCTTCTTGTGATGACCTTGACATTTCTCAAGCGTGCTGTCACGAGCTGTGGTTTTTATAGTCTCTGTGCATTCTAAATTCGTCCTAGCATTAAAGAAACCATTTTTATACAATAAATTCAACAAATATCATGTTTCTCAAACTGCACCGACTTGAAACAGCGAAGTGATGTTGGCCCTGTTCAGATAAATGTTTTCAACTGAGTTTCCTTTTGACAAGGTGTCACACCAACGTGTACATTCGTGCGATCCGCAGTTTACCATGTACCCTGGTATTATATATTACGTTTAAAATGTTTCAAGTGAAAACCGAAATTATGATTTATTACTCGATAACACATATTGCTCAATATGTAGTTCATGAAGATGTTGGGAAATCAGCATTATTTTACCTAGAGCTTCTCCGTTAATGTCACTCGGCTTGGGCCGAGCTGAAACGGAAATGCCCGAAGGCGTCCGAGAGGAGAGATAATTAAAGCTGACGAAAAAGGGACTCACAACATGTTTTGTTCTCTCAGGCCCGCAGGTGTTACGTATTGCTCAAGTCTGTCTGTTCGTACAGAGTGCATTCAGTGAAATGTGATACTTAATGCATCCGATGATAAGAGGACAAAGAGGGTACTTTGTCCCATCTGCACAAGAGTATAAGAAGCAAACATGATATCATGAAATGGGCTCTGCATGACCGTTCGTTGTAATCAGACGTGATAATTAGGAAATACCTAACAAGCTGAGATCCCGGAGAGATTATTTGGCTTGGGGGAATCACGTACCGGTATCCTATCGCACAGAAAGATCGATACACAAAGGACAGACAGGGGAATTGTATGACAACCCAACTTAGAAATACTCTAAAAAGGCTTCTTCATAGTTACTAATTCTCTTAAATTACATGTTTGACTGCTTGTTCTTTGGGGCCGTGGGTAACCTAGTGTTTGAAGCGAAGATCCGGGTTCGATTCCTCACATGGGCACAATGTGTAAAGTACATTTCTTGTGCTCCCCGCCGTGACAAAACTGGAATATCGCTAAAAACTAAAGTCACTCACTCACTGGTTGTTTAACGCCTCACTATGCAATTGTCCACGTCTGTAAATAGTCGAATCTGGACCAGAAAATCCAGTGACTGACATAGTGAGCATCGATCTTCGATGACGATGCTATGGTGACATGACTCAGCGACGTCAGCGAATCTGACCATCCGAAATATTCAAACATAATTGAACGTCGCCTCAGTCGCTTCTTACGACAAACATGGGTTACTGAAGACCCTTTCTAGCCCGGACTTACACGGATTGAATACTATGTAATATCACTTATCAGCTTACTTACAGCGGTATTCAAATTAGTTCACTTGTTTGATGTCTCACGTCTTAATCAGGAACATATCCCAGCTGTTTAACAACGTCACGTGCAATGTAAATAGTCGAGTCTCGTCCAGACAAGCCAGTGATGATTTGAACTGGACTGCAATATCACAAAACATTCATGGTGATATGACATTGTTCCGATCTTGAACACGGCTGGTCGTTATTGTGCTCAGATGTATTCAGCGTTTGAATTTGCAGGTTTCCATTTCATAAACCTTAACTATTAACATGGTTTGCTCAGTGTTTTCAATCCAATTATATCGCCAATGCCAATGCCAATAATGAGTGTAAACAGTCGTCTTCTGTCGGAACTATCACGCGTCAGTCCCACTGGTCGGGTGAGTATGGTTTTACGCCGCTTTTGGCAATAATCCAGCGATATCACGTCGGGGGACACCAACACTGGGCTTCACACATTGTACCCATGTAGGGAATCGAACCCTGATCTTCGGTGTGACTAGCGAACGCTTAACCACTAGATTACCCCACCGCCCCCCACTGGTCCAGTGATATTTGAGAAGATCTTAGAAGATGTTTACCTTGTGAGAATTGTGAGAGAATGTCTGGGCAAGGTCACGCGAAGATCAAATATACGGCAAACACATGCATATATCGACGAGACTAATAGATTCACGTATACTTGGTTGTGGCCATTCGGCATGTTACTTAAAGGCATTCTCTATGTTTGCTGTCGCGGATATACTGAAAATCGGATTAGAACAAATGGGATGTCATCATTGGCGAGAAGAAGGGTGTATCGTTTGGTTACTTCAGTGGTTACTAGAAAGATGTTTGCGACGGACGCGGCCGGACTGACGCCCGACACAGGACAAACTGGCCATTACCTTAGTCCACTTGACTCTCAATCAGGTGAGCTTAATCCACTTAATCAGGTGAGCTTAAAATACATCAAAGCAACACCTAGAGTGAGTGAGTGAGTTTTACGCCGCACTCAGCAATATTCCAGCTAATGGCGGAGGCCTGTAAATAGTCGAGTCTGGACCAGACAATCCGGTGATGAACAGCATCAGCATCGATCTACGCAATTGGGATATGATGACATGTGTCAACAAATTCAACGAGCCTGACCACCCGATCCCGTTAGTCGTCTCTTACGACAAGCATGGGTCACTGAAGATCAATTCTAACCCGGATCTTCACGGGTCAACACTTCAGCGAATATTGCATGTGGCATAGATGTACAATTGTTTCGACTGAATTGATGACAATGCAGGACGTCTTCTAACATGTCTGTAATATATTATCAAAATGTCTTTTCGATGATAAAATCCAAACTTACCTTCCAAAACCAGGGTTGTGGAAATTCAATCCAACATTGGCAACTTCCGTTTATGATTTTAGTTTCGTTGATGATCAGCATAGGGAGGGAGAACAGCATAGCGGAGGCCCACGACAGACCAACCAGGACTCGTGATCGGAGATCTGAACAGAGAAACCTTCTTTCAGTTAGTTTAGTAGTTGTGGACAAAGCTGATAATCCTCAACGAATCGCATCACTATAGGTATGTGATAGACAAGTGTCGTACTTGACCCTAAGATCAACAGGATTTATCAAATGGGAAAACATTACAAATAATTATGGGTGAGTGAGTGAGTTTGATTTTACGCCGCCTTTGGCAATATTCCAGCAATATCACGGCGGGGGACACCAGAGATGGGGTTCAAACATTGTACCCATGTGGGGAATCGAACCCGGGTCTTCAGCGTGACGAGCGAACACTTTAACCACTGGGCTACCCCACAGCCCCTGGGTTGGCTTGTAAGAGTAAAGGTAAATGTGAGCAATGTATACGTCCTCTGATAATCAGCTTGTGAGAAACCATGAAACCACTATGAAACCAGTATAAGTCCGGACTGGTACAAGAAATCACACGTCACTATATACAAAATAAACTTGAACGCAACGTTGAAGTTCATTCACCTATCTCATGATCGTTCGTAGTGTGTCCTTTTTGGCATGGGTGTGAACCATTGACAATTGCTGTAAATTAATTGTTTGTGTTAAATTCAATTGCTGTTAAATATTTCTGACTGAGACGTAAAACATCAATACCATACTCGATGTGGCTTAAATGGACTTATATGATGGAATATAGTTCAGAAATGAGGCTCGAATGAATACTTATGTATATTCATATGGAAGTTTAAATAATACCGCTGTGATTACGCCCAAGGTTTATTTTTAATCCTGGCCCCTTTAAAAACGTACGCTGCTCCTGAATTAACGGTTCTCAACCTGTCTCAAAATGTTAACGAAGGCATTTAAAAAACATTCCTTTGTGTTTCAGGTATTGGAAAAGACAGCAAATAAGGGAAAATCTACTTTGAACAACAAGTACTAACCAAGGACATTTAAAGGAGTGAAAAATTAGCTCAATATCACGACAAAGTCTATACAAGAGCTCCACACGGCGTTTACGGGGCGTACGAGGACGTGAAGCCCTTACGGAGAAAATCAAATCCCGCGCTTGAGCGATTACTGTGACAAACTTCCCTCCAATTACAGGTCAGGGACGACCATGTAAGATCCATTTTCTGTCGCCGACAACCGAAAAGAAAGGGGATGTCACTTTTTTGGATCTTATAGAGAACTGCATGATCGATTTTCATTTTCTCAGCTAATATCACTACGGCTTTGTATGGATCTGTTAAAGGCAAACAGCGTATCTCATATAAAGCAGACAAGAGGTTTTATTTTGGCAATTTGTAAATTAATGTGATCAGTTAATTACGTTTATGTGTATCATAGCTGTAATGCAGAGACAAGCTATACACAACACTGCCCAGCCACAAAACAAGAATGTGATCATGTATTTCCGAAAGGAGAGGAAATCACTATTTCTAGTGGATCAAATCAGTCTTAAAATAAAATTCTTATCACTAAACTACACCTAATTATTTCAAAATTCCCCGTTATACTGATATTTCCTTCAGAAATGAAGTAATGACTATGAAGTAACCGTTTCATATGTTTCCACAATGTATGGTAAATAGACTGACCAGTCCCCTAGGCCTAAACATAACAGATCATCGAGATAAACCGGGTAGATTTACTTATAAAGTAAATGTCAGCTCCAGACAAATCCAGCTCTACATCCTCAAGAAATATCTCATGAGCCATAAACACATGCAAACTGAGGCTGGTCAATTTTAGGGGCGGTTTAGAACCCTAGAAGAGAAAGCGTTAGCCCATGTTCAATTCCGCATATGGGTTCAATGTGTGAAGAACATTCCTGATGTCCCCAGCCGTGATATTGCTGGAATAAAGCCTTACTCACACAATCCCAGGTTAATGGATCACCTGAACGATATTCTGGAACGTTTGGTACATGTCAAAATAGGGAATTCCATCAGACCTAACTTTCGTCACTGGCGTATCAGATTTTGAAATGTCTTCCAGATGTCTGTGAAGAAGCATTTTAAACTTGAATTCTTTAACCTTGGTCGAACAACGAGGAAGTGTCGTACGACGCTCTTTGTAATCTTGGTAAAAAGAGCTCGCTCTATTGTACCCCAAAAGTTGTGAAATCAAGCTTTTGGTATATCCCTCGACCTAAATAGAAGTTGACTGTTGGAAAGTTGAAATCACCTTCATACATGCGTTCTTAGAAACCTTCAATGTGTTAATTTATATATATCATAAATTCATAACTATCTTCATCCAATTTGGATACCATTGCATTTGGATTCTTCCCAACAAGTTAGGACTGTTGGGAAAGTACTTTGTGAATACCAGGTCCTGTTTCATGGACACATGTTTATGGAACTGTCTGAATCGTGCATAGGACCCATGGTTATAGTAATGGCTTTGTGAATACCAGGTCCTGTTTCATGGACACATGCTTATGGAACTGTCTGAATCGTGCATAGGACCCATGGTTATAGTAATGGCTTTGTGAATACCAGGTCCTGTTTCATGGACACATGTTTATGGAACTGTCGGAATCGTGCATAGGACCCATGGTTATAGTAATGGCTTTGTGAATACCAGGTCCTGTTTCATGGACACATGTTTATGGAACTGTCGGAATCGTGCATAGGAGCCATGGTTATAGTAATGGCTTTGTGAATACCAGGGCCTGTTTCATGGACACATGTTTATGGAACTGTCGGAATCGTGCATAGGACCCATGATTATAGTAATGGCTTTGTGAATACCTGCTATAATCCCTGTGTGATACCGTTTCATGGACACATGTTTATGAAACTGTCGGAATCGTGCATAGGACCCATGGCTTTTGTTGATTTTATATTTTATAATTTAACAATCACAGCGTGCAAAACCTCAACCCAGATATACTAAAAACATAATGTAGTTAAGCATTAGAAAAAATGAAGCTTAATATTCTATGATCACGACATGGATACCATTGCACGGTCAAGAAGCCTGTTTATGACCAGTCAGAGATATGTATTATTTAATGTTCTTCTTGATCTCAAGCTGTGTTTTTTTGTGGAAATCTATTTGTGTGTTAAAAACATTGTAAAACCCACCCCCTCCTTGTCTTTGTGATGATTCGTGTCAAACAATTCGGAAAGGCAATCAATTATTTATGGCCAGTAAATGTGCAGTGTGTAGATATGTGTCATCGTTGACCTCCAGCGTCATTCATCTCAGTCAACTGTTGATCTTTTCGTAGAATACAGTAGTAATTGAACAAATTCTGTTATTTGATCCCTACAATGTCTGTGCTTGTGCTATTAATTTGATTGCTTTTAACGGAACAAGACATCATGATAGTCTTGAAACAAAAGGTTTGCCATTCACATTGATTATCTATTTGTCTTCAGAAGAAACTAGTCATATCAAAATGCTGTTCCGATATTCCATATCAGCAAAAATGCCCTAGATTCGATCAACATCGAAGTTTCATTTCCTCATAATTATGGTCAGGTCAGTCACGATTACGATTCATAAGGGTCTTTTAGCATTCACCGAATGCAACACACTGCGTTATGCATTTTTTGTGCGTTCGCCAGAGACAACATACTGTTTTATGGATATTTTTGTAAATTTGTCTGCTACATCGTTCACCCGTAGATTCGAACATCGAAATTTCATTTCCTCATAGAGACACAGAAGACAGCATACTTTTTTAAAGGATTGTTTTCCGTTTGCCGAATTCAATATACTGTTATATGGACTTCGTTGCGGTCGCCGAACACCACATAGTGTTTTATGGATGTTTTGGCGTTTGTCGTATGCAGCATACTGTTTAATGGTATGTTTTTTGTTGTAAATGTGTCTGTTACTTCGTTCCCGTGTTCCTCCTCTTCCAACATAGGCTGCTTCTGTGCATTTGTATAACGTTACAGTATCATTGCTGGTCGTGCTGGAAGGAACATTAGCGTGGGTATCAAATATTACAAGAGGTAATGCTTTGTAATTGTTTTCCCATCCTCTAATTCCGCAATTAACTTTCCAATTAAGGTTGGGATTACTTATTGATTATCTGATCGAGTGAAGACTTTGTAGGATATTGAATTTGAAAGAGTATATAGAATCACGTCTACTCGGAAAAGTTGATGGTAGAAATACCTGTGCTGTGCTTTTACTTACATCCTTATGGCCTAGAATCTTCTGTTTCTATGACTACTCAAGGGAGAAATTTATTACTACCAATACACATTAGATATGGAGTTTTGAAGAGGTGGGTAACCATTGGGGCAAGTGCGGACTTGTCACAGCTCCCTAATTGTTGCTAGCTCTAGTTTTAATATATCGATCAGTTTTCAATCATATCAACGTATCATATAACTTTAATTTCGACTCTTTCGATTGATTTGCATAATTTGTTAAATGACAATTGAAATAAGTCCAAACGGATTTCTTATTGTACTTTGTCCTTTGTGCAAGAAGCAATTCAAACGTAAAACTTATTGACGGATAAAAAATGGGTTATGGGGACTTTTAACCGCGTGTGACGCTTGGTGTTCTTGAGCATAATACTGAATAGTTGCTAGAGTTGGTTGGTGACTTTGGCCATTTGGGTTGGGTGTGTTAGCTTCAGTGGGGATACGCCGCTATATTGCTGGAATATTGCTGTGTGCGGCGTGAAACTAAACTCACTCACTCACTTCCTTTGGGATAGAAACCCGAAGTTGCATGATATAGTTGACGCTTGCAATGCTGTTGCAACCACTATGGTGCCGATAGTTCATCTTAATTTATACATTACGTTTTCATATGACGTCCTCGGGTGCCCTGTCAGTTACCCATGGACACCTTAAGCTAACGCATTTTGACGTCAGTTCCGTGTACTTACGGCTTCCAGTGAAACTGAGTGGTCTTGCGATTGCGTCGAGCCGGTCGATGCTGAGGGCTACGAGTGCGTACGTTGATGCGTAAGTGACCACGCCCATGAAGTATCTCACCAGCTTACAGCCAACAAGTCCAGCATGCCAGTCAATTGTCGTCTTCCAGATCATGTCTGTGAAAACATTCACCAGTCCGGCAGACAAATCTGAAAAATACCAAGTAATGACAATGGTCAATGTGAGACATCGATCAGTGAAGTGAGTGAGTGACATAGGTTTTACGCCGCTTTTAGAAATATATCAGCAATATCATGACGGGGGACACCAGAAATGGGATACAGGTATCAGATATTCGCCATTTTGGTGAAACCCACGCGCACGGTTGTTGTGCTGACAAGGTACGCAACCCTTTACAGCAAATTGTTCTAGCGAGAGTTCAATCATACACAAAACATGACACCTCTTCAGACACATGCCGGTGATATTCTAAAAGAACACTCTGGGTCTTTGTTATATTAAAACACTATATTGTTAATGTCCTATGTTTTGACGCGGCTTACCATACAATAATACGGAACATGACAGAATAAATAGGGTATGATACGGTATACACAGGCCCCACCATGTAACTTTGTCTGCAACCCTACTTGGTTCCGTCAGTAATTAAACCCATGAACTCATGTTTGTCGTTAGGGGCTACTAATGGGATCGGGTCGTCAAGCTTGCTGACTTGGTTGACAGACGTCATCGTATCCCAGTTACGTAGATCGATGCTCATGCTGTTGATCACTGAATTGTCTGGTCCAGACTCGACTATTTAAAGACCGCCACCATATAGCTTGAATATTGCTGAATCCAATACACAACAAAACAACCAGTCATTGGTTAATAAACACCACTCTGTAACATATGGTCGACCCAGTGCATGTGTCTGGTTTCTAATTCCGCTGTAATCCTGTGCAAACATGGGCCGACATGTTCATTATGTGTTTTTCATGCAGTTCTAGAAAATTAAGAGACAAGGCGCCTTTTCACATATTCCTCCCACTTAGCTGTCAATTGTCGTTGAAATAACGGACCGTTAACGTGTGTACAGAGTGCATAGTAATCCAACGATTTGGGAAATTCAATTATCCTTCCTTCAAAAATTTCAATAGGTTTAAAAAAGAATTCTCATGTAAATTCATGAATAAAGAAATGAAAATAATTTTCTTGGTCGTTTCAGATAAATAAGGCTACATTGTTGCCCATACGTTAAGATCCCTTTGCACAGATCAATCGTTGTTAAGACTGTTGCAACTCACAACCTTTGATTTAGACCATGATCGTCCGCTTGTGACTCTAAGTATATTACTTTGTTGAAAATACTTTAGCTTTATAGCTTTTCAGGATAATAATTAATGAAAAAGGACACGCACACCAATTTAATACATTGTACAAATTGAAAGTAAAATTTATATATATCTTTAACAGGGAATATAATAGATTTGTTATCATATACGATAGGCTATAATGTGTTATGTCTATGTCTGAAATATTTTTAACACGTAGATAACTGATCACAAGATTTGACCTACGATCCCGCAATGCAGGCCGTTGTGTAAACTAGTGGATAAAACGTTCGCTTCTAAGGCCGAAGTACTGCAGCTGGGTTCCATTCCCCATGATTACAATGTCACCCCAATGTGTGGTGTTCCCCGTGTGATATTTCTGGAGTATTGCTAGAAGCGGCGTAAATAATTCACTACTGGTCAGGATTCCGTGTCAGAGTAGGCATTTCACAGATTTGGGCATCTTTGGGGTGTTGAACTGCCAAACAACGTAACGAAGACACTTATCTCGAGGGTTTAGGGATCTGTGCCAGTGGACCCTGCGTCTTGGGGACATTTGCCCATATTTAAAGCCAGTTTGGCTGAAACATGTGCGAATTGCTACGCTGTGTTATTTTGTCGCTGAGTGTACTTGCACTTCACAAAGTTTTGACAGGAACAAACGTGACGTCTCATAGATTAATGCGAGAGTCGCTTTCCTTTGACCAAGGGGCGTTACTGTAGCGGACCGAGGGACTGACGCGAAAGTCAGGTGGGGACAATAATTGAAGGTCTTGGTTATTTTGCCTCTGTGTAGTAAAGGCATTGTCGACCGCCTCCGTGGTGTAGTGGTTAGAGCGTCCGCGGAAGGTCGCGGGTTCGATCCCCGACCGCGTCATACCAAAAGACGTTACAATATGGTACTTGTTGGTCCCTGCCTGGCGCTCGGCATTAATGGGTACAACAAGGACTGGTCGGCTCGGAGTCAGTATAATGTGTCTGAGTGGGGTATTCATGCTTCACTGCGGCATGGTATCTAAGTGGGCTAGCACTATAAAACCAGCTTCCGTCTGGGCTAGTACAAGCAGCCGCACTTACACATACAAACGCATGCACGTCGTCATATGAGCGAAATATTCTCAGGCACGACGTTAAACCCAATTTCACCTCACCTCAAAGGCATTGTCAAAAATCATGTTTTAAGAAATTAGGAACTATATCGACTGTTGTCACTCTGACACTGACATATAGAGTAAACTACTCAAATGACGAACTGGTTCCACTTTTCGCGGCCACTTGCTGCATATTTTATGCAATATCCGTATGAATTACTGGTCACTTTGAGTTCGGTTTAACCGGAGTTTACTATATATTAAAGCGCAGACAACTTGCATTTTTAGGTAATGTTTGTGAGAGATAAAAAGATATTTCGACGACAGAATTGAGAACGACATTCATGATTAAGAGGTTATTGCGTGTTTTGGGATGGAAAATATGCTGTTTGAGGAATAAATGCTAATATGTACTCGCCCAGGTTCGCTTAAAACAATATTTTTTCCTAAAAGAGGACATTTACCGTCCTAAAACACATTCGCGTGATATTTCATAAACAAGTAGAAAGTTTTGCAGACTCATTAGACTGACTGACTGACTGAGTTTGGTTTTACGCCGCTTTTAGCAATATTCCAGCAATATCACGGCGGGGACACCAGAAATGGGCTTACTTGTGCCCATGTGGGGAATCGAACCGGTCTTCGGCGTGACGAGCCAACGTTTTAACCACTAGGCTACCCCACCGCCCCTCAGACTCATTAGAGAGGAGAAAACGAAACACTTATACTCGTCGTAACGATGTGGAGTTATATAAAGTCAATCATCTCATCCCAATTATCAATAAATGTTTCATGAAGTCAAATTATAATGAAATAAACTTAATTCGCCAAAACAACATTTTTTGTTTTTGAATTGCTTTTGATGGTGCACAGTTGATCTGAAGCAAGTCCCCCTTTGCCTTTGCCATACACATTCCATGATATCAATAAAGATTGATGGATGGTTCGGTCTCAGGTTTGCATACTGAGTAGCAAGATATTGAGATTGTTGTAAGAAAATACTATCCACAAAATCGTTTCTTCATCTGTGTAGGGCCCATTCATCAATGTCATTATTGTCAAACTGAAAGCAATTGAAGATAAATATGATGGGAAAAAGCAGTGAATGTTGTTTGAATATGTTCCACTGTTTTCCAGCAATTTCACCTTGAATATATTGGTTTGTCTGCATTGGTTTTGTGAGCTATATGAGGGAGTGAATGGCATAAGGAGACTTTGTTATTGATAATGTTCCAGACTATTCAATTACAATATTTATATATCCTCCGTAATGCATTTGCTTTGCCTAATCATTGTCATTATGCACTCATACTAACTATGTCGGTCAATTGTTTTCAAATATCTGCAGATATGGGTGATTGTGAAAAGCTATAATTTTGTACTCTGTCATCTATATTGTCAACTAGGACAGAAATCGATGACTCGAACATGACCTTGGATACATACACATGCCATTGTAATAACAGTTTCAGAACAATGATATCCAAATTATCTTCTGTGTGTTCTAACGTGTGTGCATGACAGTAAATAAGCGGAATGTAAGTCTGTTGTTCTATTAAGATAATACATTTTCTAGCATGATTCCCAATATTAAGTTGCACTGTTTGGCTGTAACAGAAACGATTGGTAACAGCTGTGTCCGCTGGCAATACGACAGGAGTGTGATGAGCACATTGGGTGTTCGGACAATATTCCTATTCTGTAATGTGTGGGAGACCTGTCTCAAAAATTCAACCCAAACGTACTGGTTTCCTGCTGATGTACCATAGATCGTGATCAGGTTCAAATTGAAATTTAATTCTACGATCAGTAGATCCTGCCTTTGCTTAGGGGAGCGACTCTACACATATAATTTCGCTGCCGGATGGAATATTCCGACAGATCAAAATGAACTTCGACATGATCAAACTTATCTGATAGGTATGCTGCCAATACGAGACTAACGTTCCCATACATTATAACTTATCTCTTTTGAGGATTACAAATAGACGTTGATTTATAGTTATAACTGCATGATATATCTGTCTGTCACACATAAAATCCAAACTATTTTGTCTTCTGAATCCCAAGCGCTATCAGCTGAATCTGCTTCTTTCCATCACGTTTTATACAATGGTCATTACAAAACCCAGGATTTTATCCATTTGATGTATGGTTCTCCACAGAGTGTGAAGAGGTGCTTAAGACGCATGTAAGGACGATGTATGTATTTGGGAAGAACACATTAATACTTGCCAGAGAGTTTTTAGGTGTATGACTGATCAGGGTTTTGTGAGGTTTAAGATGATGTGTAAGATAATATGTAAAGTAAGCCTCGAACAATCACTCATGACATGGGTGTCGGTCCTGTGTATTAAGTGATCTTATAATGATACACAAGATAATCTGATCTGCAACACTAATTAATTCAGCCATGAGTGTTAGGACACTGATGCAATGGACTTCATTATAATTATCCACACGTAACAACATATGAATAGGTTCTTGAGAGGCATTTAGAAGTATTCAGGTATAAGACAACATTCACCTGACGAAGGGGCAAGGAAAAGCCCTGAAACGTTGTGTATACAATAAAGAAGTTGACATCCACAATATTTTGTCTTACACTTAAATATATGAATATTGTCCTCTTTACTTTAAACAGTGTCCTGAACAGGGTCATTATGATTTTGTTGGTTTGTTTTAAAACAATCGAGTCTGGACCAGTGAATGATACCATGAGCATCGATGTACGCAATTTGTGATACGAGGACTCGCATCAGCCATGACATTCCCGTCAGCCGCCTATTAAGACATGCATTGTTTGCTGAAGACCAATGTAACCCGTATCTTCACGGTTCATTAATGATACTGTCTGTATTACATTCACAATGAATGCGCTCTATGTGGATGTACATCGACTCATTTAGTTTATGTCGACAGTAGCTGTATGTGAACTAGGTTCAGGTGTGCAAGACATAATCACATGTTGGAGTATGTTCAGGAAAGATATTGCCTGGACGTTGAAGGTTTCCACACGAAGAAAAGAGTTCACAATAATCCAACTTAACCATCTTGAGCGTGAAAATAAAAGCGACAAAACCCTTTCAATAATAACAAGAAATAAATACTGAAAGCTGAGTTCATTGTACAGACCATCTTGTAGATGAGACATGCCTTTCATCTCATTTTCTTGGAATAGGATCAAAGAAAGGCAGCAGATATCATCGCAACATGCAACTGTCTCTGGTGCAAAGCCTATCTAGGTTGTATGGCAGCACTCTGATGTATTCTAGTTAAATGAACATTTTTTTGGAAAGAACCTAATTTGTGAGAGGTTAGTTTTCCTAAATGCATTTATGCTAGGAACTGTTTTAACAGGAAGCTAATCGTCAAGTCACAATGTTTTGTCTCCACACGTGTAGACTCCAGGAGCCACGAAGGCAAGAACTAATGTTTGGAGTCACGGCTTTTTGTATGTTAATATCTTGGTATATTACATTGAATGTTTGAAAGGAGTATTCTACTGGAGTATCTCTACCTGGAGGGCGAACCATTCAAATATGTTTCTGTTCTCTGTTTCAGTGTAAAATGCAACAGAAGAAATTAAACAAACCCAATCCTGCATTACGTTTGCGCATTGGTGGAAGTTAATACCGTGCCGTAGAAACCTGTCAATACATGTTTGTTATGATGTGGTTGGTGGTTTGTTGTTTAACACCGCACTCAGCAATATTCTAGCTATATGATGGCGGTCTTTAAATAGTCGAGTCTGAACTAGACAATCCAGTGATCAACAGCATGAGCATCGAGCTAAGCAATTGGGATACGATGACGTGAGTCGACCAAGTCAGCGAGCCTGATCACCTGATCCCATCCCCTTACGACACACATGGGTTATTAAAGATGAGTTCTAACCCGGATCTTGACGGGTATGTTTGTTATAATTGTCAGAGGCAGACGATGAGTAAACAACAGCAAAAGAATATCAAGTACTGAGAAGTTTTCACCGTATTTCGCGACAGAAAGCCCATCTGGCCTTGTACTGCCTGTAATTAGAGTTATCTGCCCACGTTGTATTTATGAAATGACATGTGTTGTCTTTTGAGAAGATCATGAAAGGAGCAGTTTGTGAACGCCTTGCAGTAGCTATATACGGGCGACAAGGGCGAAACAAAGCCTTTATAGAACTGCTTCTTTCTAAAAAGAGCAGTTCGAAAGCCTATCTATAAACACCCAATTTCTGACAGCTCCCAAAACTATTTCGGAGCCAGGTCTCTTTCAAGAAATTCGAGACTATCAATATCTTGAACATTCGCGAGTGAATTATATGAATTCTGGCGCCTGTTACTTCTTGCTGAAGACACGTTGTGTTGTTGTATGTATGTAAACCTGAACTGAGGGTTTCTATAAACTTAGTTGATTATGCGTTGAGCTTGTGTGAGCATTTGCGAATTCACAAGATAGGTGTGTGCAAACCTGTATCTGGGTTAACTCTGCGTTTCAGTTTGGAAAGCACCTTGTAAAATCCTTTAACGTACTTACAGACTTATCAAACCGATCCCGTTTTTTACACACTCCATCCATACAAGTGACAGGTCTTTCCTCACTCTCGTCTAATTTTATCGGTCCTATATCATGGGTCATTACAGGATGCGATCTCAATCCTTTATTTTAGAGCCCACTGTCTCTGTGATCAGAATGCAATTATCAACAGCGATATGAGCAACTGTTGGTATGTCGATACGGAGCCAGATAGATTAACGCAGTCGCCAATGTCAAATCATGCAAGATGGATTCCAGAAATAGCGAAAAAACATTGCCTGTGAACCTCCTCATGGGATTAATGTCATCTGAGTGTCTCATCACTGATGTATGTGTCGTTGGTATAATGCTAAGAAAACACATACGCCAGTGCAGCTTATATATATATACTGAACGAGAGCAAGAGACGTGGGTAGAAGACGCAGAGTGTGGTAGAGAGAACGATAGAGAGAGTAAGACTGAAACTCAGAGAAAGACGGAGGAAGAAAGAGAGGGGCGGGAGAACGAAAAAGAGGAAGGAAAGAAATTTACAAAGCCATAGAAAAAACTGGAGGAGTGTGTCATTTGTGACTGATAGACAGTGTAAAAAGTGTCAAAGATACAGATATAAAAAAGCCCCAGACAAGTAATGACCATTAAGCTGACATATTTCCAATATAGAAGGATCGTGTTAAGTTACCTGCGATAGCCAGATTGAGAATGAAGAAGTTCATCCTTGACCGGCGATTCTTGGTCAGCGTGATGGTCAGGATGACCATGCTGTTGCCGACAATGATGAATATGAACAGGACACACAGGAAGCTGATCTGTTCAGTCTGAAAAGCAAAACGAAACATGAACTATCTGTGATCTGTCTGAAAGCAAACGAAACTCAGATGTGTTTTTTAAGTTGAAGAACAGAAAAGACTTATAAATTGCGCCGTTGTAACTGAAGACTTTCTGCTGTATGACAGCAGAAAAACAAGCGCCACAATTGAAGAATTATATCGATAATCGAGTTAAAGCAGTCTCTTGTCTAATGGCTTCTTTATGTTCAGACACACACAGCCTTGAAGACACTATCAAATTCAAAGCAAACCTGAAATATTTCTGATGTGATGTGCAGCAATATTAACTCACTGAACTCAAATAAATATCTGCCAAACCATTTAATCATTTACCGTTGTAGGTTTTACACCGTGGTTTGAACAGCATATCTGCAAAATATATCGCATGAAATTTTATCTGGAATATCAAATCAAAATGAAAGGCGCGCCATTGTGTCTATGTAAAACTTCCTTTGCATGAATTAAGTGCATTGGTTTTGTGGATGAAATTAAATAGACACTGCATTGTTTTGTCGAGGAAACTGCATTATTGTGTGGAGGAAACTGTATTGGTTGTCTTGGCTGTGTGGGAGAAATTGCATTGGTTGTCTTGAGCAAATCACGTAGCTTGTTTGTAGGACTGTGTATTGACTGTGTGGGAGGGGTTGCATTGGTTGTATTGGGGATATTTTATATTGGTCGTGTGGATGAAACTGCATTAATTGTCACGAAATAATTTGAAAGCTTGTGTGTTGGACGGTGTATTGGTTGTGTTGAAGAGGTTCTATAGTGGACATTGCATTGTTCGTGTGGAGGAAACTGCATTATTGTGCGGAGAAAACTGCATTCGTTGCGTCGAGGAAATTGCATAGCTTGTGTGTAAAACTGTGTATTGGCTGTGTAGGAGAGATTGCATTGGTTGTAGTGTTGAGATTGCATTGTTCGTGTGGAGAAATCTGCATTGGTTGTGTCGAGGACATTGCATAGTTTGTGTTGAGGATAGTGTATTGGTTGTGTGGGAGAGACTTAATAGTTTTGAAGAAATTGTATGGTTGTGAGGGGTAAAGTTTATTGGTTGTTTGGGCGAATTCGGCACGTTCATGTAAATCATCAAGTTTCATTTTAATATCCGCTTAATATTGTCCTGTTTTAAGAAGGAGTGTTCATTGCAAAGATCCATACACTCAGATACGTTGAAAGTAACAACCTAGATTCTATCACTGACGGCTCCTGAGTGCAGCGAGCTCTTATAAATGTGGGTGGTGAAATTGCAAACAGTTCCGAATGAGAGCTAGTAGGATTAACGACACAGTTCGGCATTATTCCTTCAACCCTACAATCAACGAGGGAACATTTAATGCCTTTGTTAATTGTAGATAATTATTACAAATTATGATTTGATGTAAATGTGCAGTAATATATCGTCTTGATTTACATTCCTGTACGAGATAGTTTCCATTTCTTGTATATTGTTTTTAGTTTAAACATATTTTATTCACAATGTGAAAAGGATCGGGGACAAGTTCTTACAACTTATGAAACTCCTCACCAAAGATATTTACAAAAACTCATTACATCACAAAAGATTATTAGACACAGAGACAGTGAAAGATTGACAGTTCAGGTGAAATGTTATAATACAAAAGGTGTATAGAAATAATACTACTTTCATTCCTGCCTGTGTCGATCCGAAGTACTGACAGTACACGTTACATATGAGTGTACAAAAGTATCATACCAATTAACCAAATGTCAATCTTTTATAAAACACATAAATTACAATGTAGTCATAAAGGGGCGTGTATTTCACTCGGCAGTGTTCAAAATGTGAACTTTATATATGATCTTTCATGGAAGGTGAGTTCCATAGCATATTGATTCAACTTTGAAATCGGCAAATAATGTTGTTTCAGCAATATTTCCGTTACATGACGGTGCCATGCAAACGAACGACCTTGGCTTTGAGAGCACGACCATACAACATTTATATTTTTCGATTACACTTTCTCAGTAAAGTACTGATTTTAGTACTTTTTGGGGTTGAGTTCCGTCCGGTATTCGAACTAACACTCTTAGAGTCAGCTAATCGCCAGCACACAAAGTCAGCCATCTAACCCACTCAGTCAACGCGGCTTCCTTAAAAATGGAAGTCGGGCAACTGGTAGATTAACATTTATTCTGAATATCTTACGTGTAATTGTAGGGGACGTTCAGGAATGTTCATGTCAAATGGAAGGTTATCAACAATAAAATATGTGCTTTACAGGTAACTTCACCATTTGTTCTGATGTAGATACGTAATACAGGAACAGTTAAACAATCTTCTTGTCCTCAGTACAATCGTCATTCTAAAACCAAAGAATGACCACTGACAGATCTAACATCCGCTAGAAAGTAATTACGAAAGTAGCGACCCGCGGGGATTTCAGTTAAGACTATAGGTCCTCAGCAATCCATGCTTGTAAAAGGGGCACATTTTATCCCCATTGCGTATCCTGTGCAAATGGGATACACAATCACTGGTTCGTCTGTCCCAGATTCGATTCCTACTGACTGACATGATATCAGAGCAATATTGTTGATTACCCTATAGGTATAGATGTAGAAAATGAAAGAGGCAACCTTTGCCTCACGCACAAGGCGTAGACCACATGGTAGGACGTAACCAGCAAAACTTTGAAGTCACGGTGTTTTGAGGGAAGGGGGACAGCACTTTTTTGGAATGGATTAATGTACGTCCCAATATGAATATGACCTACCCTGAATGTAGAGGTTGTTGAATATGAAAGACTAAAAGATATGTAAGTGATAACTGTTTGAATATGAAATGCTTAAAATCCATGTGATGAGAACATACATTGCATTCGTGCCATTATGTTCATTATAAGATGGTATAAGGACTTGTCGGTATTGGCCAGGGGTGCGTCCCGTATAAACGGAATTATCCTACGACCGAAGGTTCGAATCCCACATCCGCACTATAGTTTTTCGGCACCATATGTTTCCATGGTTTTGGATTACACAAAATTGGTTAACGTCTAAAACGTACATTACCCAATGCTTTCCCTTAACCATTAAGTTGATATTTATGACATTTAATACATGTGATGTTCAAGATACTCTTCAAAGCGTAGTTATACACAAGAAAACCATAATTTCATGCATAGGGGTTTTTACCGCAAGCATAAAACAAACTCAAGTCTTTCTTCATAAATCCATTTTGACAAAAAGGTCCTCTATTAAATAAAAATTAAGAATTGGACTACTGCTGAAAATAGATTTTAGTAGAATACTAAGAATACGTCACACGAGATATAAGCTGCTTTGAAATGCCTTAGTCCTTGGTCAAAGGAGATTACGCCCATTAAGTCTAGACAAAACCTCAGACATAACATCTATCTACATTAACGTGATATAATGAGAAATAGTCTGAAAGTGACGGGTACTAATCCCCGTTGTTGCACACCACGACAGCGCCTCGTATAAGGTATATAGCGTGTGAGTTAGGCAACTGTCTTGGTTTGATCGGAAATTAATGACGTCCACATTGGGTGACAGTAGAGCAGGAGTTTGCCATAACATAATACATGACAGCAGTAAAAGCATTGAAGATACTAAGTAGGCCTGTCTATGGCAATATCGCCCTGGAATGCATATTTGTTCCACAGTACTGGTTGGGATATGTTGACACAATATGAAAGAGATGAGAAGTGTCCTTCCTACTTTACATGTACAACTAAGGAGAACGTTTGTGTCATGCAACTTCAGCATCATGTGATAAGAATGAACACCCACTTTCATCTTTCGTCCTGCTGAGACAGGAACTTTTATCATGTGCAGTAATCTTGAAATTCTCACTAGACTGGTTCTTCGTGTGTTTGCGTTACGAAATAAGTTACGAAATTTCACATATGACACATTGATATAACCATACGTTATATTTCTATTCCCAAATAACATTTAAATCAGTCATTACACCAGATTGTTGCGAAAGAGTGAAGCATATCCTGCAATGCCGGAAGACAGACATTGATAGGAAGCGACCAATTCAAGAACAGCTAGATAAGTGATGCCTCAAGGTGTTTGCAAAACGGATGAACAGATCCTTCAACCGTTTCCTTCAATGTAAACAGTGTAAAATGACATATGAAGCTTAGTTTGCAGCTCTCTCGTTGAGCCGTAGAGAATAAAATGTTGTTCGAAATGACATTTGAAAAAGTCAGCCGATGAACCAGATCAAATCTAACAAGAAGGATGTTCAAATATCTACAGTGGGTTCATTCACTTAAACAAACATTATTCATCATAATTTATGCATAGAAAATATGTAATATTAGTTATGCGGCCATTCATTTGGAGCGAATTTGTCATGAGTGAAAAATGAACTGGACAGCTGTATTCCAGCGTCTGCAATATTTAAAACAATGTGAAATGTACAATTTCATAACGATGTGTCACATAAGCTGAGATGTTTCATCGTCTTGAAGAACGCTGTCAGAAACACATGGTTAGCCATAAAAGGGAAATATAACGAAAACCTCATAACAGGAGAACCAACTGCTGCCACCGGGAAATTGAAAACGCAATTTCATTTCAAAATTGTTCCCTCACTCAACTTAAATCACATGGAGTGGACTTCTCACACAAAGCGATGAAATTGGACATCCTAATTCAATCCCACAATATCCTAGATCATGTCAAGGAAGAGGAGAAACGGGTTTTTCTGCCAAACCGTCTGTTTATTCGTGAAAGGTGGTTTAAAAAGTGACGCCAGAAGGCACAACAGACACTCTTAAAGGGGTTTTAAGTGTTGGAATGGTCTCTTAAACGTTTATTGGAGAGCAGCAAGGCTTATTTCAACAATCAAAGACTCTTTAAGCTGCTGATTTACAACTGACAAAATTGCAAACGGATAATGAAAAAAGGTAATAAAGTATTTTTTCGCTATTTCTAAGGATTTTTCACTTATTCACAGGTGAGACAGCAGCTCATTACACGGAAAGGGAGCT